GCCCCCCCCCACACACACACCCGCCCCCCACCACACACACCGCCCACACCACACACAAACACACACGCCCCACACCACACACAACACACACGCCCCCCACCCACACACACACACACACGCCCCCCACCACACACACACACACGCCCCCCACCACACACACACACACGCCCCCCACACACACACCCGCCCCCCACCACCCCCAACACCACACACACACACGCACCACACAACCACACACACACGCCCCCCACCACACACACACACACGCCTCCCACCACACACACACACGCCTCCCACCACACACACACACACGCCTCCCACCACACACACACACACGCCCCCCACCACACACACACACACGCCCCCCACCAAGGTGTTCAGGGGAAGCACAACACCACTGGCAGGGTGCTCGGGGCCGCCACCCCTCACAAGTCCACTCTTCTTCTTCACCAATTTGCTTTGGCTTACCCTGGAGATCACTTCCTGGGCCCATTATGTGCTCTTGCCTTTTACACTACGTCTACAGGGTGGGTGTGGGGTCCACCACCACCCACAGGGTGGGTGTGGGGTCCACCACCACCCACAGGGTGGGTGTGGGGTCCCCACCACACCACAGGATGGGTGTGGGGTCCACCACCACCAACAGGATGGGTATGGGGTCCACCACCCACCACCACAGGATTGGTATGTGGTCCACCACCACCCACAGGATGGGTATGGGGGTACACCACCAACCCACAGGATGGGTTATGGGGTCCACCACCACCCACAGGATGGGTATGGGGTCCACCACCACCCACAGGATGGGTATGGGGTCCACCACCACCCACAGGATGGGTGTGGGGGGAGCATAACAATCAGTTGGCCCACCTTGTTGTCCGCAAGTGTACCAGGCAACGAAACTATTATTGTCAGCTTATCCCCCCCTCTGTGTTGTGTGTTTTTTTTTTTTTTTATTTACAAGCTTGGCCATGCAGACCAATGTGCCGCCGCCACGCTGCTCTACGTGAAAGATTACACCGTGCAGGTCAGACACCAGCTCTTCGTTCATCTAATATCCTCATCTCGCAGGAGCAGGGAGTCGTGCGTGTTGGGCTGATAATGTGATGAATATCTTCAAATGTTGAGTACTTGACGCTTGATGAGGGGAGCACACTGAGCCCCCACGCGTACGTCACCCCCATTGTACCAGTTCCCTTCACCCCATTGTACCAGTTCCCTTCACTCCATTGTACCAGTTCCCTTCACTCCATTGTACCAGTTCCCTTCACTACATTGTACCAGTTCCCTTCTCTACATTTCTCTCATTTGTTTTATCTCCAGAAGGTCGTGAAGGTCGTGGGGATGTTCCCTTCAGGTTGTGCAACATGCAGATGCGTCGGATTAATTTTTTCCTTTAGGCTGTAACACAAATGTAAGCAACGTAGCTATGACGTGAGAGGCGCGAGAGCCAATAGGGTTGTGGCCTCGAGATATGGCAGAGAGGGAAAGTTCCTCCGCGCCCCGTCTCCTTCCTCGCGCCCTTTTCTCCCGCGTTCTTTCAATTCACGCGGAAATGGCGCGTTTCCTGGCTCCGTGAGGAGGAGGATGGAATTTGTGAAAGTTTATGGCTGGCTGAGGAGTGGCGGGCAACTGTTTTGTAAACAGGAGGTTGTTGGCGGGACGCCTGTGAGTTACTCACTGGGAGGTGGTGTGAGTTACTCACTGGGCGGTGGTGTGAGTTACTCACTGGGCGGTGGTGAGAGTTACTCACTGGGCGGTGGTGTGAGTTACTCACTGGGCGGTGGTGTGAGTTACTCACTGGGCGGTGGTGTGAGTTACTCACTGGGCGGTGGTTGTGGAGTTTACTCACTGGGCGGTGGTGAGAGTTACTCACTGGGCGGTGGTGTGAGTTACTCACTGGGCGGTGGTGTGAGTTACTCACTGGGCGGTGGTGTGAGTTACTCACTGGGCGGTGGTGTGAGTTACTCACTGGGAGGTGGTGTGAGTTACTCACTGGGAGGTGGTGTGAGTTACTCACTGGGAGGTGGTGTGAGTTACTCACTGGGTGGTGACGGTGTGCACATCTCCCCTTACACCTGTCTTGTTACTGGGTGTAAGTTTAAGGTACCCAACCAACACCCAGTCCTTGGTCTCACCCGTAATCTCTTGACAGGTGGGGGTCCTCCACCCCCCCCCCCCATCCATCTAGTTTAACACAAGTACTTTACAACATTACCATTAATAACGTTTATATAGATTCCTCAATCTAAGATTGTTCTAATTTGGTGATCACCTGCCTCTTCCACCCCCCCCCCCTCCCTTCTCTTCCACCCCCCCCCCCCCTCCCTTCTCTTCCACATCCAGGGGGTGGGGGGGGGGGGAGTTAAGACATGAACACACCGGAGCCACAATAACAGTGTCACCTTAAAGCTGTGACGTGTTCACAGATTTCCTGGTCTTCAACTGGGGTTAAGCTCGCAGGCCGCCGCTGGCAACATTGTCAGTCGTTGAACTTGTGCTCTCTGGAGACATGTTGCGGTAATTGTTGTCGTTGATGTGGGTGATGAGTTTGTAGGGGGGGGTCCAGTTTGTGATGAGTGTGTGGGGGGAGGGGGGGGGGGGAGTTTGGAAAGGGTGAGGGAGAGGTTATATCTTGAGGTTATCTTGAGATGATTTCGGGGCTTAGAGTCCCCGCGGCCCGGTCCTGAACCTGGCCTCCTATTTGTTATAACCACCCCCCCCCTCCAGGAAGCAGCCCGTAGCAGCTGTCTAACTCCCAGGTACCAATTTAATGCTAGGTAACAGGGGTATCAGGGGGAAAGAAACATTTTGCCCATTTGTCCCCGCCTCCGTTGGGGATCGAACCCGGAACCTCAGGACTACGAATCCGAAGCGCCGCCCACCCAGCTGTGAGGCGCCTGAGCCAGAGGGTGATCCAGGAAACTAAGAGAGCAGCCAGCCTGTGTTCCAGGCCGGAGCGCCAGGAGCGCCTCAAGAACAGCTCACACAGAAGAACAGGTCTGGTGTTGGTGTAGGCCCGGGCGGCTTGTGGCTGCTGGCCACCTCAAAGTTAACACTGTGAACCATGTCCTTGTCTAACAACCGTGGTGGGCTGTTAGACACTATCATCCGTGATAGTCAATGATTAGGTCGTAGTGATTGCGATGGTGGGGGTCGTGTGTACTTCCCTAAAGTCACTGTAGGTAAGCACCACTACCACACCAACACCCCCACGTCCCCCAACCACCGTCATCTCCACCCCCACCATCCCCTCCCCCCCTTGCCACTTTCGCTTGACCTACTGGCACACTTTACTGGCGCGCGGGTGCCACTGAGCCTTTATTCCTCTGGGTCTGGCCGACGCCACATCTCCGCTCTGCTTCACTTGTTTTCCCAACTTGGTGAACCAAGACATGCATGTACCCATCAAGCGTCTGTTGGTGTGAATGTGCTGCCAGACAATGAGCAGAATGAGTTGTGTGTGTGTGGTGGTGGTGGGGGGGGGGAGGGGGAGTAGAGGCACTCTCGCTAGCAGCTTGGGGAGGGGGGAATGGGGTGGGGGGTTGAGGGGAGCTGCAGGCCAGGAACCCTCCCTACCTGCTGCCACACTCTCTGCTCCATCAAGTCAAGGTGAACACTTTGAATACCACGGGCAACCTCCTCCTCCTCCCCTCCCCCCCCCCCTTCCCTTCCTCCACCCTCTCCCCCTCTTCCTCCTCCCCCCCCCTCACCTCAAACCCATCAATTCTATTGTTCAATCAGTTTTCCTCCGCTCAATTCTTCATGTTTCCCCATCAGTTGGCATCTGAGGAATGAGTAGCGTCACTCTTCGAGCACAACGACAGCTTGGAGAATGCTACAGTAAGGTAATACTTTGTCTTAAAGTAATACTTAGAGTAATACTTGCTCCTCAGCTGCCAGGATGAATCTCGTTATAAGGGCAGGATGGGCCGGCCGGTGGGTCGGGGTGGCCGGTCGCCACGGAGTCGTCCGGACGATTCAGGCAACAATTGGATAAAAAGTGAAAGGAGTTCTGGGATACGGTGACGTCAGCTGGCTGGGTCACGTGACCTGCAGTGCCCATGTCCGGGTTAGGAGGAGGAAGGTCGACCCCGGAGTGGTCTGGTGCCATCGTGCGCCTCCAATTGCTATGCTAATACTTTACTACTTGTCATAATTTAATCACTATTGTTATTATTATTATGGCTGATGGTGGTGATGGTGATGCTCTTACCCCTCATAGTGGCCCTACCAGTGACACTCACCAAACCCCTCATCATCTTCACCTTCCCTACCCTCTCTTTCCTTCCCTTTCTCTCTCCCCTTCCCCTTATAAGTGTCTCTCATCTGTGTCGAGGGAAGAGAGAGCCCCGGGAACCCCACACGCCTTCAGGAAGAGGATGGTGGCCCACTGCCCCGTTGACGCCCTGCGAATAGTGAGCAAGCAAGCAAGCCCGCCTCTGCACGCTCGGGTACCTCACACTCACTCCACGCACTGCTAGAATACCCTGATGCATAAAACAAGCTACCGATACACACTTAAGTAGAAATACAATCAACTGGTATAGTGCGAGGGGATGTAACGGAGTTGATTCCTGCGCTGTGTGTGGACTTAGCTCCAACTTGTCAACAGTAAGACACGGCAGAAACGGTTGGGCATGACTGCATATTTCTAGACTACCAAAAAAACCTTTGACCAACTCCTGCATAAAAAGAGCACTTTACAGCATGAGAAACAGAGGAGAGTAACTGGGAGATCACTGGACTGAACGACAGACTACTTAACAGACAGAAGGGCCCCTAGTCGTACCGTGGGCCCCTAGTCGTACCGTGGGCCCCTAGTCGTACCGTGGGCCCCTAGTCGTACCGTGGGCCCCTAGTCGTACCGTGGGCCCCTAGTCGTACCGTGGGCCTCTAGTCGTACCGTGGGCCCTAGTCGTACCGTGAGACCTAGTCTAGGAGTCACGCACCAATAGGATCATAATGTTACTGGCATATTCGAACTTGGTAAATTTCAGAACAGCCTTCAGGAACTTCAGTGAGGAGGAAACCATAAAACTGTACCCCTACCTACGTGAGACTAGAGCTAGTATATGCAACCCCGACGTGCAGCCCTCACGTAAAAGAAAAAAAATAGAAAACTTAAGAGATATACAAGTTTGCAAGAGGCTCGTCCTAGAACTAATGTGGGTAGCGGATGTAACGACGCTAAAAGAGAGAGAAGCAGGATAAGGACATAAAGACATCAAATATTGAGGGGAACTTAATGATGTTTATAATGTCAGGGAGAGAGTGTGACTAGAAGCTGGAGGGAGACAAGCCACTCATGTGGGGACATAATTCCCCTTCAGCAAAGAGTATCTTGAGATGATTTCGGGACATTAGTGTCCCGCGGCCCAGTCCTCGCCAAGGTCTCCACCCCCCAGGAAGCAGCCCGTGACAGCTGATTAACTCCCAGGTACCTATTTACTGCTATGTAACAGGAGTATCAGGGTGAAAGAAACTCTGCCCATTGTTTCTCGCCGGCGCCCGGGATCGAACCCGGGACCAGAGGATCACGCGTACAGTGTTCTGTCCGCTCAGCCACCGGCTGAGAAGAAGGAATATGGAATATATCAGACCAGGAGTGGGCAACAGTTTGTGCTTCCTTGCCATAGACCCAAGCACATGAGCTGGGCGGTAGAGCGACGTTCTCGCCTCGTGCTGGTCGGCGTTCAATCCCCGATAGTGCAAGCGGTTCGGCACCATTCCTTTCCCCCGCCTCATCCCAAATCTTTTTCCGGGTCACTTTCAAGTTGTTGTTGTTTGTTTTAGATTCAGCTACTTTGAACAAAAAGGTGCAAGTAGCACGGGCTATGGTGAGCCCGTAGTGGACTTACCTGGCACAGGAGCGGGGCTGTAACCTATAGTATTTTTAAGTGCTATATAGTCGTAATGGTTTGACACTTTCTCCTGGTAGTTTCCTTCCCTTGCCATAGGTCAGCCAAATAAAAACTATCCCCCCTCCCCCCCCTCCCCCGACCCTCACACACATTAATTCATTCACCCCCTCTCCTATCCCACTGGGATTATCACTCGTCCAGTGCTCTTGAAATATGTCAAGCAGACAAAGTAGGAGACAAGGAGGTAGCTGAGAAAGGAGTCACTCAGGGAGTCGAGAACATAGGTAGCCAAATAGGTAAGGAGGAAGAGGAGGTAAAAAAAATGAAGAACCACGACAAACCCATTTCTTCATGTGCTCCGTAAGTGGCACAAGTTACGTAGCAGCTCCTGTTACGCTACTGTAACAGGTAGGAGAGGGGGCAGTGGAAGGGGGGGGGAGGTGGGGGGAGATGATATTGTCGTAACTCTTCCAATCTCCCCCCTCCCTCCCCCCACTTTACCTTCACCTCACTACCACTTCCCAGTCACCCCCCCCCTCCCCCCCCCCTCCACCATCCGGAACGGAACTGTTCGCTTCCCCCCCCCCCCCCTCCTCCTCTTGTTCCTATTGCTGCTGCTGCTCCTTGTGTGGTCGGGGGGAGCGGGGAGGCTCCGTACGCAGCAGCAGCAGCAGCAACACCACCAAGTTTCTCCTGCTGGAAGACAACAACTAAGACAGCAAAGTCACGGAGGCAGCATCCGGGAGCGGCCCGCAGGAGCCGTCAGATCCTGGCCAAGGATCTCTGTGGGATTGAGATCCTGGGGGGGGGGGCGATGTGGGGGAGTTATAGGTAGGGAAGAGGGGAGATCTGTGACAAGGCACCAGTCCTTGGCACTAACCCATCTTCTACAACGTTGTCCCCTCCATGTCGAACGCACCTCAACTACCCCCCAAGTCGACCCCTCTCTCCCTCTCTCACACATTCCCACTGGAGAAGCAGCTGCTTCTTAGAACACAAGATGTGTGTTACATCATGTATTAGATGTGTATTTGTGTGTATTGCCTTAAAAGTAGGAATTAAAACGCTTATACAACGGGTACCCTCATTCTCCATCCTATCCCCATTCTACTTCCTCCTATCATCACCTCCTCCCCCCTCCCCCCTTCCTCCTCCCTCATGGGGAGGGGGTGTGGGGGGAGCGGCCTTGTGTCTTGGGTTGCGTACTGTCGGTGAAAGTAAGTCTACCGCCACTGTCACTAAGGTAATAAGGTTACACACACACACACACACACACACACACACACACACACACACACACACACACACACACACACACACACACACACACACACACACACACACACACACACACACACACACACACACACACACACACACACACACACACATACACACACTCACTCACTCGTGTCGTACACATAGACTTCTCTCCAAACAGAACTCAAACAAAAGAACCATACGGGATGACCAGTAGAGGATACAGAGAGAGCAATAAATAAAGTTAATAAAACGGGGGACACAACTGCTGATATTTGTAGATTTCTACCACAAGATCTACTAAATACCGAGGAATCTTCCCTGATCATTACCCGACCTTACAAGGGATCTACACAACAGACAGCATCTTTCAATTACCTATAAAACCACGAGTAAGGATCCAGTCTTTATATAATGGAGTTGAAGGAGAAGAATGAAGAGAAGGGAATATAGGACAACACAGGAAGAGGAATTACACAACTGAAAGTTTATCATGCTGATCAGAAAGGAAAAAGATACGTATATTGATAGGGAGATTTGCAAGAACAGTAGCGAGATACATACCATAGTGAAGAGAATAATTCAAGAATATTGGAGCATCTGGGGCGGATACAATTTCTAGGCCTAACCCAGAAATAGTATGGGTTCTTGTAAGGAAAAGCATGTCTTACGAATTTAATGGAATTTTAAGATAAAGAGTACCCAAGAATGTGTGTGTGTTTGGTGGATTGCAGTTTTCAAGATTGTCAGGCCTCTTGACACAGTTCCTACCCAGAGACATTTGGCAGGTTGGGACCGTCTTACACAAGAGGACGCTACTGGAGCAGATGACTTTTGCCTTGCTAGAAAGCTTAAACTTACCCTACTAGTTTACTTAAGACCTTTACTTAAGTGAATGTGTAAAGTTGTCTCTAAACTTTGCTCAAGACCACGACCCACCAATGGGTTAACAACCAGGTCCTCAATTGCAGAGAGTCAGCAGTTACAATAACGGGGCTGAACACAGACACCCAACTAACTCGCGTCAACACCAAGCCGTGTGCTCCCTGCTCGACCAGTCCCACATTACTGTTCGATACCCAGAGACGAATAGTTAAGGATCGGTTCCCGGCGTCCTTGTACCTTCTCCTAGCTGGAGCCTGGCCCCAATCTCATCTCTGTATTTAAATGTCACATTTCGTGTGAACGTAGGCCTAACTCGTGGTAGGCCTGGCGCAGGCATTACTTGAGCCTAAACTGTTCCGTCTTCAGTCGTTTACCTCGTTCAGGTGACTTTCCGACCCTTTTCCATAGACGCGGTTTGTCGTTGTCTACCCTATGCCTCCACCCTCCACTCCTCCACCCACCCAATGCCTCCACCCTCCACTCCACCACCCACCCTATGCCTCCACCCTCCACTCCTCCACCCACCCTATGCCTCCACCCTCCACTCCTCCACCCACCCTATGCCTCCACCCTCCACTCCTCCACCCACCCTATGCCTCCACCCCTCCACTCCTCCACCCACCCTATGCCTCCACCCTCCACCCACCCTATGCCTCCACCCTCCCCTCCTCCACCCACCCTATGCCTCCACCCTCCACTCCTCCACCCACCCTATGCCTCCACCCTCCACTCCTCCACCCACCCTATGCCTCCACCCTCCACTCGAAACCAAAAAAGTAAATAAATCATATCTGGTGGCAGCGAGGAAAGTGTTTTCAGGTGTGGGCGACGCAGGTGTAGTAGTGCGTCGCCCTACACCTGCGTCGCCCTACACCTGCAGCAGTGCTGGTAAGTGTAGTGCAGCAAGCACCGGTCCACACTGTGGGGTGGGTCAGGCGAGAGAGTAGTGTCCAGGCCATGACTGTACTGGAGGGCAAGTTGACCTGCTGCTCCTGCCCTCCGTCAGAGTGGATTGGGCACTCTTCCAACCGGTTGAGGGAAGTGGCGGAGGAATGCAGGAGAAGGGACAAGTGAGGTAGATATAAGCGAGATGAGAAGGAAAAGCGGGAATTAGTAAGGAATAGGTAAATGGGGATAAATAAGGAAGAGAAGGATGAGAGAAGGAAAAAAATTGATAAAGATGGGTAGTGGAAAAAAGAGATGTTACAAAAACGTACGCACATATATGTGTGTGTGTGTGTGTGTGTGTGTGTGTGTGTGTGTGTGTGTGTGTGTGTGAGTGTGTGTGTGTACTCACCTATTTATACTCACCTATTTGTGCTTGCGGGGGTTGAGCTTTGGCACTTTGGTCCCGCCTCTCAACCACCACACACACGGCCGTGTGTGTGTGGCCAGAGGTGTGCAGTACACACTTTCGGGCTACTCATGCCCGTGCCCCCCCCCCCCTCTTGTGGTGACTTAATCTTCATCAGTCAAGTGTGTTGTGTGTGAGGGGTGGGACCCGGGGCGGGACTAGCCACCTGCCGTCCCCTGGCCACTATCCCACACCACCTGCTGCTCCAGTCACCTCCTCACTCGCCATCTCCGCTCCATCTTATTGTACAAGTTTAGGCTGGATCAATCTGCTTAACCCCCCCAATCCCCCCCCCCGCCCACCCACACCCAGCCCCTCTCTAAGGTTCTTACCTTAGGGAGAGGGCTGGATAGGGGAGAGGTTCTTACCTCTTCCCTATCTGTTTCCCCTCTCCCTCTGCCCCCTCCCCCCCCCACACAATAATTCCATTTCTTGAACATTTCCTCACGCCGCTTTGACCCTGGTAGTGCCACTCCGGTCGACTGTGTCGTGAATGGTGGTAGTTGTGGTGGTGGTGGTGGTAGTTGAGGTGGTGGTGGTGGTAGTTGAGGTGGTGGTGGTGAAACAGTGGAGGATGGTTGCATTAACAGCTAAGCAGTCGCCAGCAACCCCCTCCCCCCCCCTTCCCCTCCCCCCACACAAAAACACAAACATATTGCCTAATTAAGTAAGAGTATAACGATGTAAAGAATGATAAATAGGAAAAGGTCAATTAAAAAGAATCATTGATCATTAAAACCCTCCATTCTTTTCTCTCCCTCCTAGCCAGGTAATAGCGCGCTCGCGCACACGCACGCGCACGCACACGCACACGCACACGCACACACACACACACACACACACACACACACACACACACACACACTGTACTCTGGCCATAGGTGTAGCAGACACATGTGGCGCTCCACTTGACAGGTGTGGTGTCCATCACAACAGTCGCCACACCTGCTACTCTTTACCCTGTCTTTTAACATCGTGTCGATTTGTGATTCAATTACGTGTCGGAACAGCACTCTTGTTTGTTAGCACTCAAACCGGAGTGCTGGCACTCTTCGTACTCAGAACTGGCACTCTGGCACTGCTAAAGCACCTGTTTAGGCCGGCTGGGCGGGCACACACACACACACACTGTGCCTCGCTGCCTGTGCCCCTCAGCGCGGCCCGGCTCACCTGTTTACATGCCCCATAAGACGCCAGGGGTATCGCCCTTGTTTACACCCAAGTTCCCCCCCATATCTCTTGTTTACAGCGTGTCCCGCGCCACCATCCTGATAAAGGTCGGCGATAGTGTCACGAGTCAATTGTAACGTGCAGAAGCAGGCAGGTAGACACAGGCAGGCAGGCAGGCAGGCTTACAGGCAGGCAGGCAGGCAGGCTTACAGGCAGGCAGGTAGACAGGCAGGGAGACAGGCAGGTAGACAGGCAGGGAGACAAGAGTTATAAGTGAGGGTGTGACACCTTCCCTGCTGGAGCCTCCGTGTATGTGACTAGAAGCGTCCGACCTTGGGGCTAATTGGTTTTCTAATGGACCTTGATAGATAAGCAGACTATGTCAGCTGTGGGTTGTATCGCCCGGACAGTGTGTGTTGATCTGGGGATTTGCCACATTTTGTGGTTTCATTGATTTCCGACGCGTACTTGTGCCGAGAGAATGTGGCAGAGTATATTATTAGTGTGCGTATGCTCGCTTGAGCTGCGGGTGAATTCGTGTCGAGCGGTAAATACATGTGTCTCTTCTCTCTCCAACAGTGGACAACGACGGCGGAAGAGTGGGCCCTCCCCACCACAGTGACTCCCACCACCACCACCACCATCACCACCACCACCTACACGCCAACAGCGTGGGTGGTAGGTCGCGGGAGCAACTGCTGCAGGACCTGCTCTCCTCTGGCCAGTTGCTGCCCCACCTGCAGAACACCGGCCCCATCACCACCACCGCCCACAACACCAGCCTCTACAACACCGGCTACCAGCCCCATCCTGCAGCCCACGCTGGCCACCGCACCGCGTACTCCACCTCCCACCCTAACACCTCAGGTAACTTGCTGGTGTGTGTATATGTGTGTGTGTGTGTGTGTGTGTGTGTGTGTGTGTGTGTGTGTGTGTGTGTGTGTGTGTGTGTGTGTGTGTGCGTGTGCGTGTGTGTGTGTTGGTATTCGCCTAGGTGTGCTTGCAAGGGTTGTGCTCTGGCTCTTTGGTCCAGCCTCTCAACAGTCAATCAACTGATGTATAGGTTTCTGAGCCTACTGGGCTCTATCATATCTACATTTGAAACTGTGTATGGAGTCAGCCTCCACCACATCACTGCCTAATGCATTCCACCTGTTAACTACTCTGACACTGAAAAAGTTCTTTCTAACGTCCCTGTGGCTCATTTGGATAATCTGTGTGTGTGTCTGTGTGTATATGTATGTCTGTGTGTATATGTATGTCTGTGTCTGTGTGTATATGTATGTCTGTGTGTATATGTGTGTCTGTGTGTGTCTGTATGTCTGTGTGTCTCTTGTGTATATTTACTATGTGTATCTGCAGAATTGAGCTATTAGTTCTTGGACCCCGCCTTTCTAATGTGTGTGTGTCCTCGTCTGTCTGTGCGTGTGCGTGGGAGAGCACTCATACTCCCATATCTATGGGTCCCGCTTCTCTGCCTTTACTGGATTGGTGGGAGTGTTTCCTCTGTGTCGTGTCCGCTGGGTTCTGTCCTCTATATTAAATGTCTTCACTTTTATTCATTGCATTTCACTTTGTGAGCGTGTGTGCGCACGCGCGTGCATGTCCACCACTGTTTCCTGGTCGTCTCTCTCGACTCTTCCAGGCCACTTATTGTAGAGCTTCGACTTATCTTGATTAGCTTATCTGTCTCTACTCCCCCTCTCCTAGACACCCACCACCAACTGCCACTTAGGAATCTTTCCTTATTATGACCACTCAATAGCTCGGGCGATAGAGCTTCGGCTTCATATGCCTGAGGTACACGGTTCGAGTCTCCTAAGAGTCCAGGTGAATGGAATATTTATTTCCAGTGTGAATGACAATTTTCTTTCGCATTCTTCAGATTTTCAACCGACAATTGACTTGCGATTTATTCCTGTTCACTAACACGCAAAAATTAGTATGGACGTCAACTGAATATTCCTGGAAGCGACCTCAGTCCTTCAGACTTTTGGAGACTTGCCCAACGTCTGGGGTTCCTGGTGGTGACTTGCCCACCGTCTGGGGTTCCTGGTGGTGACTTGCCCACCGTCTGGGGTCCCTAGTGGTGACTTGCCCACCGTCTGGGGTCCCTGGTGGTGACTTGCCCACCGTCTGGGGTCCCTGGTGGTGACTTGCCCACCGTCTGGGGTCCCTGGTGGTGACTTGTCCACCGTCTGGGGTCCCTGGGGGTGGTGACTTCCATACCCTAAACTTGGAAAGGCTCCGTTCCACGTTTTCTTCTGTTCCAGATCAACGGATTTGATCTTAAGCTCGCGGCAAAAGTTATTGGGTTGTTATCTGGTTAACTGGTGGTGTTGAGTACCTTCCAGGGAGACTTTCCTCTCCGGGAACATAAGAAAACCTCGTGTCTTTGGAGGATTGTGTGACCCGTGTAAGTTTCCAGCAGTGAATGTTCACGGTGGAAGACTTGTCTTTCATCTCAAGCTTCCAGGAGAGATTAAGTAATCTGTGAATAATTCCAGATAAACCATGTTCTTTGCTTGCTCCCTGGAACGACTCAGCCTTGGCTTCTAAGCCTAGTCTCGCTTTTGAGTGATTGTAAGAGAATAAGATATAATGTTTAGGCTTCCAGAACCTAATATACGTTTCCTGGGGATAATATTCAAGCGTCCAGGAGCGGGTATTGAAGCGTCCAGGAGCAGGTATTTCCCCTATGAAGCTTCCGGAAATAATTGTAGGAGCAAGAGCTCCAGAAATACTGACTTAACCTGACAGGTGGGTCTCTAGGACTGAGAGCGAGCTACCTGCTTGATGAGGTTCTGGGAGTTCTACTTCCCAAGCCCGGCCCGAGGTCAGGCTTGACTTGTGAGAATTTGGTCCACCAGGCTGTTGCTTGCAGCGGCCCGCAGGCCCACATACCCACCACAGCCCGGTTGGTCCGGCATTCCTTGGAGGAAACAATCTAGTTTCCTCTTGAAGATGTCCACGGTTGTTCCAGCAATATTTCTTATGCTCGCTGGGAGGGTGTTGAACAACCGTGGACCTCTGATGTTTATACAGTGTTCTCTGATTGTGCCTATGGCACCTCTGCTTTTCACTGGTTCTATTCTGCATTTTCTTCCATATAGTTCACTCCAGTACGTTGTTATTTTACTGCGTAGATTTAGGACCTGTCCCTCCAGTGTTTTCCACGTGTATATTATTTGGTATCTCCTTTCTAGCGAGTACATTTGGAGGGCTTTGAGACGATCCCAATAATTTGGGTGCTTTATCTCGTCTATGCGTGCCGTATATGTTCTCTGTATTCCCTCTATTTCAACAATCTCTCCTGCTCTGAAGGGGGAAGTGAGTACTGAGCAGTACTCAAGACGGGACTACTCTACTGACAACCACAAACGTGGCTTACCTAACGACCTCTCACAGAAGTATTGCCACTACCCTAACCTTCTACGTATATATGCAAGTGCAAAGATATTTCCAAAGTAATCCAGTTTTTTTTCTTGTGTTAATTTTGAGTGGTTGGGCAGCAGAAGAGTTTGCTTGTGGTTTAAATATGTGGGAGGAGTTGGTGTGCTACACAGCACGAGGGTTGGGGTAAATTATTGACCTTGCGGCAACTCTGCCAATGACGTCATGAAGCAGCCTGGATTGTCAGGGGGTACGATTGTCTGGATCCACCGGCAAAGGGTTTTTGGGGGGATCATTTTAGTCATTTTTTTCTATGTTCTCGTGCTGTTTATGGCTGAATTTAATTACATCTATGCGAATTAAACCATACCAGAGGAGGGAAATGGCCTATTGTAAGCTCCTGGTGGTCTGGGGAAGGCAGGCGTTGTTCGAAGCCAGAGCCATGCGCGGGGGTCGGGACGGGGCGCCTGATCGCAAAGTTACCTATTGATCCACACGAAAATAGCGGCAGTTACGTCACTGGTCGCTGGTGACGCACTTTTTAAAGACGCGCGGAAGACCCGGGGATGGTAGTGAAGGTTGTGCGGGGGCGGGTCGGCCCACACCTGCCCCGACCCCCGCCACGACCCCCGCCACGACCCCCGCCACGACCCTCACTATGGGTTGAAGACCACTGCCAGACCATGGGCTGGGTAGACTAAACTGTGGAGGTTGAGGTTCTTCTGGACGACATACGGGTGTTGATTAGAGTTAAGCGAGCATAAGAGTTGGGGATTGGGGCAGGTCGTGGGCTTGCGGGCCCCAAGTCGTGGGCTTGGGGCAGGTCGTGGGCTTGGGGGACCCCCCAGATCGTGGGCTTGAGGGCCCAGGTCACCGAGGTTTGGAGGCTGGTCAAGAACAGGTCAAAGAATGTCGTGTGATCTCTTAATGTATGTAATAGGGAACTTGAGGAAAAATAATTGAGGGCTCACAATGGGATCGAACCTGCGCCTCTGGAGTCCCCTAGGTTTGTACCCTCTGTACCAGAACCAGCAGCAACCATCCGGGAGCCGTAAACGACCCTGACCCCAGTGCTGAGATGACCATTTCCCCTCCCCCCCCCCTCCTCCCCCCCCCCTCCCCCCCCCCCCCACCTCCCCCCCCCCCCCTGAACCCAGCCACCCGCACTGCGTCGCTCCACCACCACATCCCCCACCACCACCTCCCCCACCACCTCCAACTTCCCCACCACCATTCCCACCTCCATCCATCCTCATCCCCCGTCCTCAACACCATCCCCAACACCATCCCCAACACCATCCCCACCACCAGCACTAGTAATGACAGATTTGTGATCTTGACTGAGTGGTGGTGGTTCTAGTGGGAGTAGGTGGTAGTGGTGGTGGTTCCACTCAGAGGCTGGGGCTGGACGAAGACTCCTGGGAGCTGTGGGTGGATTAAAAGAAGGATGTGGGTGGGCAGGTGGAGGAAGGTGGAAGAGGGACGTGGGACGGGTGGAAGGGGAGATGTGTGAGAGAGCGGGCAGCAGCAGTGACGGGTGGTGCCCGCGGGGACCCTCACAACTCACAAGGTAAACAGTTTACGATAACAGGGAACACACACACACACACACACACACACACACACACACACACACACACACACACACACACACACACACACACACACACACACACACACATACTGCTGGAGGTGATAACCAGTATTGACGTGTTCTCTGCCTGGGCCTCGAGAGGGTAGGTGGGTTGCGCGGGTTGGTAAACTATTTGCCCAAGACAGACAGTTTCATTTATTATTTTTTTTTTTACGGAATGGCAAATGGAGAGAATGGTGTGAGATAAGAACCTGTCAACCCACCAGTCGCTGCCATAACTGTGGGCTCCCCCCCCCCCAACTTGCTCCTCCCCCCCCTCCTCTTCCTCCTCAACCCGTTCTCGCAAATTTAGTAAGTCAATATTGACTTATTAAATATGTGCATAGGTGACATACTTAACATAATAGTTTCCCTTGAAAAGCTTCATAGAAAACACCGACCTTACCTAACCTACTTAGTATGTTAAGATAAGCATCTTATTGCTTCGTAATTACAATTATTACCTAACCTATACCTATAATAGGTTAAGTAACAATTGTAATTACGAAGCTATAAGATGCTTATTTTAACATACTAAGTAGGTTAGGTAAGGTCGGTGTTTTATATGAAGCTTTTCAAGGGAAACTATCATGTTAAGTATGTCACCTATGCAAGCAACTAATAAGTCAATATTGACTTATTAAATTTGCGAGAACGGGTTGTCCTTCTCCCCCCTCCTAAAAATTTGAAAACCGGTTATGGCAATTAAAAAAAGAGTGTATAAACAATGGCTGTAAACATTGTATTGAGTTTGTTTGGTAACTCAAACTTGGTTTGTTTCTTATCCGCATCTTTTAAAACAAGTCAGATTGAACTCCCGTTTTCTGTCATAATTATTCCTGTAGAAGCTTTCTGTTGACGTGTGAGGTAACGGTAACCGCAGCAACAGTAACCTAGGGAACGGCAAATGAGGCGTACGGGGGTGGGATCAGCAGCCCTCGGGTATATTAGTCTACCTGTTTAATCAGGTGCTGTGCCCCTAGCAAGGGGGCACTATGGTGTTATCTTGTAATAAGCCCCCACAGGAGGGAGTAGCAAGGGGGGACTGTGCTGTTATGACCGTACGCCTCGCAGATAAGTGCTTGCCTAACGTTACGGGGAAGGGAGGTCTAGCTCTGTTATGCCCCGCCTCGTTGTACCTGTTACGTTATAATTAGCTTTCCTGTCTTGTGAATTCATCGTAAAATCTGGGTTTGTATATTTTGAATGGCGGAGGCTTCCATAGTGACCTCTCACCGTACATTCTGCTCCTTGACTATCATACAAGGTACGAGTATTTCCCTACACTTCTTGGACTCGTTTGCGTTTCCAGCTTCAATTTTTGCCTCAATTCACACGATAAAGCACGATAAAAAGCACCCATCGATACACGATAAAGCACCTATCGTGCTTTATCGCGTCAGCCTCACCTTTAAAGCGATAGTTCTATTACTCGTTTTATTTTGCATTTCCTTCTATATCGTTTACTCTAGTATGTTGATATTCGGCTCCAGGCCCTCCAGTATTTTCCATATATGTATACTATTGAATACCTCTCTCTCGTCTCCTTACTAGAGAGTACATTTTGTGAGCGTTGAGACGGTCCTTATAATTGAGGTGCTTTATCGTGTCTTATGTAGAGGTGCCAGAGGCATACTCAGAGAACGGAGCCGGGCTCGGGGAGTAGAAGTACTCGCAGAACCCCATTCAGGTACAATCCAGATCTAGTTAGTCTTGTTGGAGTTTAACGCTTTAACACCCATTTTGTGTGTGTGTGTGTGTGTGTGTGTATTTGTGTGTGCTTGTGTTTGTTTTAAGGCAACTCATTTCCAGGAGGAAGGCAGACGGCTGAAGAGCCGAGGCAAGTAGATAGTACATTTCTTTCCCTCTCTCTCTCCCTCTTATTTTATCACAGTTGTACTCATTCCCTTGTGTTTTTCTCTTATGTGTTGCAGTGGGCGG